GTTGTTTCTTTCCTATTCTGGGGGCATTCACTAGCTTTGCATCCCATCGCTTGACATTTGAAGCATGTTATAACTCTTTGCGTTCGACACTCAACGGCCCTGTGACCTGGCTTCCCACATTTGAAGCAGTTGTTGTGTGGAACGCTCCCTCCAACATCTGTTGTTTCTTTCCTATTCTGGGGGCATTCACTAGCTTTGCATCCCATCGCTTGACATTTGAAGCATGTTATAACTCTTTGCGTTCGACACTCAACGGCCCTGTGACCTGGCTTCCCACATTTGAAGCAGTTGTTGTGTGGAACAGAACCCACACTTCCCCCTCTAGAAGTTTGGCTAGCCGTTGGGGCTTGGCTCCTTTGTTGCAAAGAACCTTGGTTATTCACCTTAGAACTCGAATCTCCAACAGACTTGGTGTAAGGCTTACCCTTACTAGATGAACCAAACCTATTATTCCTCATGGGTCCTCCACTCTTATAATGAGTTAACCTAGCACGGTTGTCCTCATCATATACTCGGCACTTGTTTACCAATTCATGATAGTGAGTGATCCCTTGATAATTGAAAACTTGTTTAATCTCAGGGCGAAGACCACTCACAAACTTCACACATTTTTCCTCCTCATTGCCCACACCATCATACATAGGACAAAATCTGACCAAGTCTTCAAACCTTGTCACATACTCAGCCACAAAATTTTCTCCTTGCTTCAATTCAAGGAATTCCACCTATTTCTTATGTCTCACATCTCGGGGAAAGTATTTCTCCAAAAATAGCCGCTTGAAATTCTCCCATTCCACTGGGGTCCCGGCAGCTATCATTCTTTGTAAAGTCCCTTGCCATCAAATGCCAGCCTCTCCAGAAAGCATGAAGGCAGCCAAAGTTACCTTCTATATCAAAGGACATCCCGTAGCTTGGAATATCTTTTCCACTTCAAAAATCCAGTCAGTAGCTCCATCAGGATTATAACCCCCACGGAAGCTTGGCGGATTATTTCGCTGGAATCTCTCCAACCAATCTATCTCTGGTTGTTGGTTCATATTACCAAGAGCCTGAGCCATGGCTTGTAAAGCATCAGCGATTGCACGATCGTTCCTACCTCCTGCCATTTCTTTTCTGGATCACCAGAAAAGTTAACAATTATACTATAAGTAAACAACAAACTTAATCAATCATAGCACTTATCAACAAATT